TATATATATAAATTTTATATGTAAATTTTAAATAATTTTTATGACTTCTTTATAAGCTTTATTTACAAACCATCCTCACCAAAATATAGAAAATGATGAACTTTAATTGCTATAATTTTTTTCATATTTTTAAGATAAATATAAATATAAAGGCATAAGATTAATGTTACAATTTTAATTTCTTAATAAATATATATTTGCAGGCATGAATTTATTTTTAGAGTTATATGACATATGTTTTGCAAGCCATTTTCAACAGAGTGACTTGAACTTGATAACCTATCTTATGACTATTTTTCCATAAATTTTAGACTTTTGGGTTTCAAGATGTAAAATGTTTTAAATGAAATTTGAATTAAAACCAAACAATTTGAATAATTACACATATACCCATGCAAATTTATTTATATCAAATTCAGCTTAAATAACTTTCTCCATATTCTCCACATGCATTTTGCAATTCCCAAATTGTGAGAAGAGGGAAAAAGCAAGAGAGAGAGGGAGGGAGAGAGAAACTAGAAGTGAGGTTTTGGAGGTCGCATCTTCATTTTCATGAAACGAGTCAATTGAGAAAATTGAGTGACTCAAGGTAGGATATTGTCACCCTTCATCTGATTTCAATAATTTACTTTTTTTGTGTTTGTCTAAAACTTGCAAATTTGATGGTATCACTATATGTTAGAAACTTTCTCCATCTAACTTTTAATATGTTATTGTCCTAGCTATTTTGCATATTTTGGCATATGTATATTGAATTTTTATCAGGTATTTCTTTTGTTTGAGGCAAAAATTCTAATTTGAGCTATACACAACTTTATAAAAAAATAACTAAAATTATGTATATTAAGAAATGTCGACACTGAGATGATTACATACATGTTGGTGCATATATATTAATCATATTATTGCATGTTGTGCATCTCTCTATTTTGTTTTACAAGCATGCTTTACATATACACTGTGATGTTGTGTATATTATAACTACTTGAAATGCCATGAAATTATGAATATACATATGCAAGAAAGGTTGATTATCTTGATTCAGGTTGGCAGAGATATGATACTCTGTGCAGGAGGTTGCGCCGACAGGCATTCCTTCAATTAGTTTAGTGTTGTAAACCCGTTATATGTTGAGAGTTATTGATCCCGAATTTTTTGTATGTAAGGATTTATGAAGTTGACATCACTACAGCGCCAAAAACTTGATATTTATATGAAAAGTAAGTTGTGTAATATATATATATATA